ATCAGTGCTTCTAATGGAAACCAACGGTCAAGAATAGATTATTGGCTAACCTCACACTCTATAGGTAACAATGTAAAGAAATGTGAGATTATTACTTCTCTGCTTACTGATCACTGTTTAATAAGCTTAACTTTAATAATAATAAAACAAAAATGCTCTTCAGACAGTTTATGGAAACTAAATAATAGCCTTTTATCAAATGAAGGGTTTTGCAAACAAATAAAAGCCCTTTGTCAAAAAGTAAAAAGGATGGATATGTCAAATAAAGGAAAATGGGAATGGTTTAAATTTGAAACAAAGAGGTTAGCAATTGAAATGGGGAAAATTATGACAAAAGAGAGAAAATTAAAGCAGAAAGAACTGCTAAAAATTATCAGCCTACTCTGTGATAAAATTAATAACACGGAGGATGAACTAACAGAGCTAAACTTGCTCCAAAAACAGCTTGACGAAATTTATATAGAAAAAGCGAATGGAGCCTTTGTAAGATCCAGGGCTAAGTGGATTGAAGAAGGCGAAAATAACTCAACATATTTTTGATGGATTAGAAAAGTCTAGACAATCCAAAAAGAAAATATGCAAATTTAAATAAATGACACTGTAATAGTAGACCAAAATCAAATAAAGGAGGAAGTTCAATGTTTTTACTCAGACCTATATACGGTAGTTCTAATTTCTGTGAGGAGGAATGTAAATCCTTCTTCACTCAGATAAAGAACAATATTAAATCTATTGGAGAGGAAGACAGAAAAAATCTGGAGGATGATTTGAATATTAAAGAAGTAGAAAATTCCCTGAAAAAAATGAAAAAGGGGAAATCGCCCGGTATTGATGGATTGACCTCGGAATTTCTTAAATTTTTTTGGGAGAATGTTCAAAAATTGTTATTAAGTACATTTAATGAGTGTATGAAGGATGTCTTACCCAAACAATGAAAACTGGAATAATAACCCTTCTTCCCAAACCAAAAAAGATACAACAGACTTAGACAACTGGAGGCCAATTAATCTGTTGTGCAATGATTATAAATTATTAGCGCAGAAAGACTGAAAACGGTCATTGATGAAATAGTAGATGATAATCAGTCTGCGTTTATAAGAAGCATACATAATAATGTGAGATTAGTTCTGGATATGCTGGATTATAGGTCTATTTTGGAAACGGACAGCCTCATTTTATTTATAGACTATTTCGAAGCCTTTGATTCTATAGAATATAATTTTTTATTCTCCACCCTAGAATATTTCGGTTTTGGAAAAAAGATTTTGTTCAGTGATAAAAATGTTCTATACTGATATTAACAGTTATGTTTCCTTAAACCCAGGATTAACAAAAATAATAAATATAACTTGTGGAATAAGACAAGGATGTCCAATCAGCCCCAAACTGTTTATCTTATGTACACAACTATTAGCATATCTAGTAATAAATCATCCAAATTGTCAGGGTATAATATTTTTGATTATGAATTTCGTTTAAGTCCGTTTGCAGATGACACTGTTTTTTTTCTAAAGGATAAATCTATGGTTAACAAAGCATTACAAATTATTTCAATTTTTTTCCAAAGCATCAGGTCTTCGTCTGAACACAAAAAAATTTGAGTTACTTTCAATTCAATTCAAGTTTATTTATATAGCGCCAAATCACGACAAGAGTCGTCTCAAGGCACTTCACATAATAAAAATTCCAATTCAGGTCAGTTCATTAAGCCAATCAGAAATAATGTTTCCCATATAAGGAACCCAGCAAATTGCATCAAGTCACTGACTAGTGTCAGTGACTATACAGCAATCCTCATACCAAGCAAGCATAAAGCGACTGTGGAGAGGAAAACTCCCTTTTAACAGGAAGAAACCTCCAGAGGATCCTGGCTCAGTATAAGCAGCCATCCTCCACGACTCACTGGGGATCGAGAAGACAGAGCAGACACACACACACACACACACACACACACACACACACACACACACACACACACACACACGGACACGGACACACACGGACACGGACACGGACAAGTAATGTGTCTACAGTTATATTGTGATGTCTTAGTAAATATTCTATTTGGTGAAAGATAAACTTTATTGTATTTATCCTAGTGGATCTATAATTAAACAGATAAACTAGTAGTAGCACATCAAAAGTCAAGGAAACCAAAAAGTTATTATCAGGAGAGAGAGAATGTTTAAGTAGTTAGCAGCAGTGTGCTAGTCGATGGCCCCCTCCATGAGGCCACCACAGCTCAGCAGAACGTCATTGTCGCTTCTTCTGGGGAGAAAAACACTTACAGAGAAAATAAAGTTAACAGCTGAAATTGGACAAAATAATACAGTTAAAGAGCAGATAGTAGAAGAAAGCAGTAGTGTGTGAAAAGTGGTCAGTGTATCCTCCAGCAGTCTAAGCCTATAGCAGCATAACTACAGAGATAACTCTGGATAATCTATCCTATTTAGATGTAGGCATGCTGGAGGCAGGGCAAGGGAGAGCCGTCTTTACTGACTGTACACTCCACCTCCCTCTACTCCCCCACTTGTCCAGATTTAGGCTAACATCAGATTTTAACCATAGGCCCTATCAAATAAAAATGTTTTAAGCCTATTCTTAAAAGTAGACAAAGTGTCTGCCTCACAGACTAAAGCTGGGAGCTGGTTCCACAGGAGAGGAGCCTGATAACTAAAAGATCTGCCTCCATTCCTAATTTTAGATATTCTTGGAACCACCAGTAGACCTGCAGTCTGAGAGCGAAGTGCTCGGTTAGGAACATATGGAACAATCAGATTCCTAATGTATGATGGACCTTGATTATTAAGAGCTTTATATGTGAGAAGAAGGATCTTAAAATCTATTCTGAATTTAACAGGTAGCCAATGTAGGGAAGCTAAGACAGGAGAGATATGATCTCTCTTTTTTATTCTCATCAGAACTCTAGCTGCAGCATTTTGGACAAGCTGAAGACTTTTAACTACATTCTGTGGACTTCCTGAGAGTAATGAATTACAGTAATCCAGTCTTGATTGTAATAAATGCATGAACTAGTTTTTCAGCATCACTCCTTGAAAGTATGCTTTCACTGTATGAATGCACAGATAATGAGATAATGTCAATTCCTGTTAAAAAAGAAATAAAAGATTTAGGAGTTAAGATAGTTGCAGACGAAAAACAAAGAGAAGAAATCAATATGAAAGAAAAAACTGATCAAATACAAAAAACTCTGAACCAATGGCTTAGCAGAGATCTTTCTATTTTTGGGCGAAATTTATTGTCCAAGTTTGAGGGTATTTCCCAATTGATCTATCCATGTCAATCCCTTTATATCGCTCCAAAAACAGTGAAAAATATTAATGCTATTATATACAAATTTATATGGAGAAATAAAACCCACTATATAAAAAGATCCCAGTTAGTAAAAGAACATAAAAATGGAGGTATGAAACCTGTGGATTTTGAAGCAATGCTGGGAACATTTAAAACAAAGTGGCTGAAAGAATTTCTAATAAAGACAGATACAATTTGGTTTCATATTCCAAAAAATGTCTTCAAGAAGTTTGAGGGGCTAAACTTTCTTTTGAAATGTGACTTTTAAATCATTAAATTGCCTTTTAAATTATCTGAATTTCACAAACAAGTATTGCATTATTGGAAGATAGTATTTACCCATAATTTTACTTCTCATTGTGCCACCTTGTGGAATAATCGAGTAATTGTTTCAAACAGAAAGTCTTTGTTTAACCGACAGTGGTTTGATCAAGGAAATATCTTTGTACACGATATTATGGATAAAGATGGTGAAATATTACAGCTACAGGTTTTTAAATACAAATTTAATAACATTCAATGTTCTCTTCAGGAATATGAGAAAGTATGTAAGGCTCTACCAGTGACTTTGATACAAATGATAAAAAAAAAACAATTCTCTTCTCTAATGTTCAAATAAAACTTCCTAATTTATTAATAGGAGAACATTTTCAAATGGAGCCTTTAAAAATATATCTATCATGATTATGATAGAAAGATTAAAATAAAAATACTAGGAAATCCACTAATTGAAGAAAAACAATTAACATTTATAAAATGGCCTATAATGCACAAAGTAAAAGAAATGCTATTTAAAATTCTTAACAACTACTATCCATCAGCAGGGACACTGAGGAAGAGATTTGGTTTTGAAGTTGACCCTTGTGAATTCTGTCAGGGAAGCCCTGAAGGAACAGAACACTTATTTTTCAGCTGTCATATAAGTAAGAGGTTTTGGGAAGAAGTCCATTGTTGGTTAAGAAATAAAATAAGAGAACTTGATAGTTTTACAAATGAAGATATTCTTATTTACAATTCTAACTTAAATGGGAATAATTCATTGTTAATTAACATTATTATTATTATTATGGGTAAATACCACATCCACAAAAGCAAATGGAAAAAACAACTGCCAAACATGAACTGTTTCACAAATGAATTCCATATGTTCTTATCCACTTTGATTCGTATAAAAAATTCAAATGCAACTGCAAAGGCCATTTGTCATGCTGCAGAAAAATGTTTTATCTTGTAACAATGTGTTTACTTTGTGATATAAGTGCCTCTTTTTTAAGTTTCTTATTGGTTTTTCTTTTATTGTTACTAAGGATGCCTTGTATGTTTCCAATATGTGTTGTTGTCTCACGAGAAATTGTAATAAGCATAATTTAAAAAAATAAATAAAGATCCGAATTGTAAAAATATCCGCTGATGGCAGGTTATGCCTCACATATCTGGATAGAAGAAAAGGCTGTATTACACGGATATTAAAATGTTCAAAAATAGTCAACATTTTAGAATGAGACCCTTATGAAGTTTATTTTATTTATTTATTTTATTTTTCTTAAGCTGGTTTCAACATGTCCTGTTTGCCCTGAATGACTTTTGTTTTTAAATGAAACTACTGTTACCGTTAAAGCGGGTAGAGTCTTTACCATGCATAAAAGTAGTTTTAAATTTTTGGGAAATATAAAAGAAAAATAAATAAATCGCAGGACCGTGTCTGTTCCGGGTAGCGTTACTTCCGGTTCAGACAACGATCTTACCAAGATGGCGACGTCCGAGAAGAAACATCCTCCTAACACGGCCTGTGACATTCCCGCTGGTTTTACTGGTATTTATTTTTAGTAATAATTATTTAATGCCCACATTTCCCGTCTCGTTCAGGCAGGAACCATTTGCTCATCGTCTTGTTTCAGTTCTCTCCCTCCTGTTCGGCGACAGTCCTGTTCCACTCCGTGTGTTCGTGAAGGAACACAACGTTCCAGCTAAGAAAGGTTCTGTCAGACCGCTGGACCGGACTTTGTTTGTGCAGAACGTCCCTTCGCATTGTTCCGAGGTGGGGTCGAAGCCCAGTCTGTCGGGATCTGTAACTGGTTTCTTGCCATCCATGTTTAATGGTTTCTGTTTCAGGACGTCGTTAGAGAACTGTTCTCCCGGTTCGGCAGCGTTAGCTTGGTAGAGCTGAGAGACAACCCAGGTTCCTCTGAGGATTCTGAACCCACACTGTTCAGTTTCTTCAAACCAGCTGAGAAACAGGTTCATCTCACGTCTCATGTATTTTAACATTTCCTCTGAGTCCTCAGCAGACCATGTCTTCTTATTTGTTTCTTGCAGGATTTTAAAGTTGGTTATATTGTGTTTGAGAAATCCTCTGGTCTAGCAGCAGTGAAATCCCATCCTCCTGATGTTCCCCTGGTGTTTATTGGTCAGCGTTCAGTGAGTACAGGAGTCCAGAGTGAGTCACACCAATTATTTTATACCCATTTCAGGGTTTTATTTAGGAAGTTCTACTGATTTAGAAGACTGGGTACACATTCCTGATCTCCTAAACCCAGAATCAGTGCGTTTACATGCGCATCAGAAAACCTAAGTTTTGCCCTAAAAAGACTTTCATCTTTTTTTTTAATGCATGAAAACGGGTTAGCTGAATGACGTGGTTGGACACTCACGTTCCGGAAGTGATCGCTAATTAGCAACATGCGTAACACCAGTACATACTAGATAAGCTGTGCTGCAGCCCTGTTGTACATTCCTTCAGCCTTTGTGCATATTAGGGATGAGCGAGTACACCACTATCTGTATCTGTATCTGTTCAACCAACTAAATTATCTGTATCTGTGTCTGTACTCGGAACGGGCGTGGCATAACCCGGAAGTGGGCGTGGTTTACATCAATATATTATTTTAAGTCTGAAATTGATATGGAATGATCAGAAGTTGATATGTGTATTGTTTATTTGAAAACTATTTACAGAGCAGCCTCAGAACTGAGATTAAATATTTTTGATCACAATAGTAAAGGAACTATTTCAGAACAAGTGTTTCAATAAAATCTGAACATTAATATTTAAGTGCATGGATTAATACATCTGAACTCATGCAGTAGGAACTAGGAAATATGAAATGCTAGAACCAGACACAACTTTATGTATATTTTTTAATTTTAATTTGATTAAACTGATTTTTTTCTTAACGTTCTTGGCATTTTCCCACACAAAGTTAAACAAAACAATGTTGATTAAGGTGTGTGTGTGAGAGAGAGAGCGAGAGAGAGGGAGTTAAAAAAAAAGCCCGACCGGAGCGGAGGTAGTGAGTGACTGATGCAGCATGTCAGCTCTGTCTTGTCAAATGCACCATGTAAGTTACGTAAAAAGTAACTTTAAATATTCAACCGAAAAAGAGGCGAGCTGAAGAAAACCTAGGGAAAACTGAAGAAACAAGAGCAACAGTGAAGCAATCACAGCGAGATCCGTTACTGTCTGTGTGTGTGCGTGGATGAGCCGGACGGACTGAGCTCCCGGCCGGCTAGAGAGTTTTGTGTGTAGGGAGGGGCGGGCGCTCTGTGACTGGCCAATCACAGAGCGTGAAGACAGTCAGTTACCCAATGAGGATTTTCCTTCAGCACGATTACAGATATTTCCGAGGTTTACTCGTCTCATGCTCGTATTCGTCAAAAATGCTTTATCCTTACCGGATACTCGTCTGAAACAAGTACCCGGCTCATCCCTAGTGCATATCCTGTTTCAATTCCATCTGCTTCACTCCCACCAGACTCTGTTTACTGTTTGTGTTCCTATAAACTAACTGGAAGAATGCCAACATGTCGCCACCTACTGTACTGGAACAACATTTATTCGAGAGTCCGGTTTTTGAATGCGCATGTAAACCAGGATAAAGACTCCTAGCCTATTACAGTAAGATCAACTTCGATGTCAGTCAGTGCTCATGTAACCGTACAGTGTCTTATATTAGGTTTCATATCATATTCCCTCTATATGGCTTGGGATCATGTTGTCATCACTAGCTCCGCCACCATGTTGGAAGGCTCGGAGTCCTTACTTTCTACTTGTTACTTCTGACAACAGCACGCTCAGTTTTGATCTTGCTGCTTAATTTAATCTTTTACGCATCCGATCGCTTATTACGCAGCCATGGTAAATCATTGCTGTTTTGTGGGGTGCAACACATGATCGCTAGGGAATGGGGTTAACTAGAGGTTTACTTTTCAGTGTTTTCCTGCTCGGAGGCATAACCATGGAGACAAAGTATCCAACATAACAAAGTCTTGTTGGCTCACTTGGATCTAGGGTTGTAAAGATGAACCAATTATATTATTAACCACAGTGTGAAACGCTGTGGTTAACCCACCGTAAAGACGTCTCCAACATTGCAAAAAAATAAGTAAATTAGCGGACCAAAGTGAAACTCAACAATCGCACGCAGCAGAACCAGCATCGACAGCCACTGGGACTTCTCCGTTTCCACCCAGGAAGTGCTTCAAGTCTTCTGTGAGGATATTTTAGACTCCCAAAGCTACTAAAAGAGAACTTCAGAACAATGTCTTGTCCTTCTGCAGAGCTGGCAGAAAAAAGTTGCGACTCTCCCACTTTTATCATCTCTGAGGTCATCACGCAGACAAATTAGCTCCAATTGAGTCAGATTACGTTGGTGACTAAACGGATTTAACAGTAATATTAGAACAATCCAGTGAACAACGGTTCATGTTGTGTTGTGATCCCAACATATCCAGAAGCGTCCAGCTGTTTTCAGCTACAACTCTCAGGATGATCATGTCCAGGATGACTGAGAACTACACCTCCATGCTGCAGCAGCTTTCAGTCAGAACAGGAAGTGAAACTTAAATGTAGCTGCTGTCAGTAACAATCTAACAAGTTTAAACATTAAAACTCAACAGAAATAGTTCAGAAAGGAAATTTAAATGTTCACAACTTTGTGTGTGATTTATTATTATTATTTTTATTATTAATATTTTTTATTATTATTATTTATTGAGGCAGAAGCTGGTGTGGTCCACTACAGAGAAAGCTGCTCTAGCATGATGACTTTAATTATTCTACAGGTTATTGTTCAGCCTTCTGACGCTCACACACACACGAGTGTTGGTGAGCGGCTGCGTCTGACTGCTGACGCTCCGTGTGTGTTTTTAATTTCTGCAGTGAGACAAACTCACCTTACACTGTCCAGAGTTTGTTCTTTAAATGGGCATTATGGAAGTTTGACAGCCAAAACATGTGTAGAAATAATAAATGTCTTCTTCATACATTCTCCTGCAATGCCCTGGTCCTGTAGAATGAGCCCTGGCATTTTTACTGTGATTGCCTGTTTTTCTGTAAAATCACAGAAAAAGAGAGCTGCTCGGGTCGAGCAGGCTGCTTCATGCGCGTTCACGCTCAGGCATAGCCCGTAGCATTTGCTATCCGTAGCTTTAGCAGCAGAGAGAGAGGCAGTGCCACTTTGTCGCTGTTCCTAACGCCTAGTGACAAAGCTAGCTACATTTCTGAGGACCCTTAGCTACTTTCTGTAGAACTTTCTTCTAGATATTTCCTGCAAATTAGCAACAAAATAGCCATTTTCGCTCCGAACCGTTTTTTGGTTTGACGTTGTTTCAGCTGTCATCAAGGTTATAAACGTTACAGATAATTTGAATGTTACTGGTGTGTAGCTCACCTTGTAAGATGTCTGACTCTCATGCAGAAGACTTGGTTCGATTCTGGGTGTGAACATAGTTTATTAATAATCCTGACATTTTGCAAATAACAAAATGATGAACCTTCCAGACTGGAAAAATAAAGGAATCCTATACCTGTGAACACATATATGAAGGATTGGACTTCATCCATTTAATAGAATAGTCTCCCAATTTGGAATAGATAAGAATAGCTTTTTAGAATATCACCAAATTAAATCTGTAGTAAAACAAAAATTTAAGCTCAATAAAATAGAATTACAAACACCACCAAGGGTATTAGACTTCTATAATCTCAACCCCCCAAACTACTGTCTAAAGAATATAAGACAATGTCCAAAATAGACGATAGAATAGTAATCCCTATTGAAAAATGGGAGGTGGATCTATCAGTCAGCTTGGTCCCAAACTTGTTTTAAAAACTTTTAAAATGATCAGACACTCCAATTTACAATTAATTCAGTACTAAATTTCTACACAGAGTACACTATACAGGTCATCGGATGTTCAAGATGGGGTTTGTGTCATCTGACACCTGTACACACTGCACAAACAACGTTCCTGACAATTACATTCATGCACTGTGGTCCTGTCCACCTGTCCAGGAATTTTGGGGTAGAGTATGTGAGGATCTGTCAAAGTCTCTGAAATGTCATCCAGGGGTGGACCTTTAAAGCGCCCGAGCGCCAATGGCGCTAAATTTTCTCGCCGGGCGGTAAATACTTGAAGACTTACCGCCCGGGTGGCGCCCAAGCCTTATTTGTCATTTACACACCGGCTTTCACCTACATCATGGCCCCGCCCTGTAGGAAGCTGCTATTTTCGTTTCGTGCGCGCGAACCTGCGCGCCTCTAGCCACGTACTGCACTTGTACGATTCGTGCACGTACTGCACGATTCTAGTTATTGTCACGTGAACTATAAGTTCACTATTAAAGACGAAGTGGAACCACGCTAGAAACACACAAGCACGCAGGAAGATCGCGCCACCACAGGGATGGGATTTCTTGATGAAATCTCCGGCAAAACGCTTTAAAACTGGTGAGGAGAAGCGAGACAGTTCGAACGGTATGAAGCAGAGAAGCGTGTGCGTAGGTGGAATGATTCTTGGCGGTTTAAAGAAGACGGGAGGCGCGGAGAATGGCCGTATTTGAGTTGAGTAGCGGCTCGCCTGGAAAACAGACGGAAGCAGCAGGGGGAGTGGCTGAAAGCCGGCGTTTAACGCCGGGGACACACCGGCCGCGGAAGCGCCGAGAAGCGAATGGCTCACGAAGTCCGGCCGCTGCTCGCCGCTCCTCAGTTCAGATCAGACGCTCCCCGTTCGAGGCGCGCCTCGGCTCAGCTTTTTCTTTTAATTACTTGGTGTCCTCCATCTCCTCAGCTCTCTTCCTCTGAGAGAGAGAGAGAGAGAGAGAGAGAGAGAGAGAGAGAGAGAGAGAGAGAGAGAGAGAGAGAGTAGAGAGAGAGAGAGAGAGAGAGAGAGAGAGAGAGAGAGAGAGAGAGAGAGAGAGAGAGAGAGAGAGAGAGAGAGAGAGAGAGAGAGAGAGAGAGAGAGAGAGAGAGAGAGAGAGAGAGGAGAGAGAGAGAGAGAGAGAGAGAGAGAGAGAGAGAGAGAGAGAGAGAGAGAGAGAGGAGAGAGAGAGAGAGAGAGAGAGAGAGAGAGAGAGAGAGAGAGAGAGAGAGTGGTGTGAACCAGTTGTTTCTGCCAGTTAAATCTCTTGGATTTCCCTGCATGATGGATGAAGATATC